ACCATCCCCATAGATCATAGATAGACTAGACTTGATTCCTCTCATGACACTGAGGATGCCTTATTTATGGAACTTACCATGATAATGATACATTTCCTCTGCTCAATTAGAACCTGTTACCCCACTGTACACCAAGCTCCTTGAGAGAAGGAGCTGTTTAAGTTCCTATCACATCGATGCTGTCAGCATGGAGCTTGGTACTTAGCTGCTCATTAAACACTAATTGAATGAATAAGTTGTGCATTAATGAAGAGACTTATTTGGATGCACTGACAGCGACAGGGTGCTGTGCAATGGCAGAGTATGAGTTAGGCTCATACTCTGATGGGATAACAGATTTTAAAAATTATTACTAGGAGTAAATACAGAAGGTGTCCAGAGAAAGAGATCTTGGACAGGGTAGGATAGGAAAGGCTCGGCACGTGGTGAGCTGCCCTTGATTTTATTCTGTACTTTGAAGAAAGTACAAGTCAACCTTCCTGCTTCTTTGCAGCAAATACAGTCATTGGTAGTCGGCATTCCTGCCACACTGATAGAACTCTGAAGTTCAAAATGAGGGCGGAGACAGAGCCCTTTGTTCCCTCTGTCCCTTTCTTACACTTATGTGGGGCAATGACAGACAGGCCATCAGATGGGAAATGAAGGCAGGTCTAGAAGCTTCATGTGTGTAAGGATGGGAAGCAGGCAAGGGTCCTGTTCACCTGGGGTTCATGCAGGCTTAGGAGGCCAGAGTCAAAGCTGAGGCCCCCAAGGAGACTCAGGTCAGCAGATCTCTATGAGGAAGAACTCTGTTCAAAGCCTTCCAAGAATGAAACTGGTAGGTGGTGAGCTCCCTGTCACTGGAGAGTCAATGGCTTCCAGGTGGAGTTACTGTAATAAGGCCTGAGTGGGTAATGGGTGACTGGACTTTGAGTCCAGTTTGAGTTCCCTCCCTCTATAGAGGATCTTGCTTTAGGGCAGGAAATCACCCATCATTAAATATTTGCCTGGCTTAGAGTTGAAGGGTATCTGCCACCTGCCTCAGAGACAATCATGGGCCTGTAAGGGTTCCTAAAGGGGGCAAGATTTTGAACCTGAGTCAAGGACCATAGGGGACCTCAGGTTGAGGCCAACCACAGCCTGGGCTGTAGAAGTAGCTGTCTGTCCTGGTGACCCCAAAGAATCTTTGTATTTATTCATTATGCTATTCTTCCAACTTCTCTGAGCCTGAAATCTTTCAAAATAAATCAATCTTTCACAACAAAAAATTAGTAATGGTTTTTTTATTTATTCATGTATGTATATATTTAGTGGTGAGTAGATCAAATGCAGGGCCTCATTCATGCTAGACAAGTGCTCTACTAATAAACTACAAACTCAGCCTTGTTCTAATTTTCTTGAGACAAGGTCTCATGTATCCCAAGCTGGTCTCAATTTCCTATGCAGCTAAAGTTGATGTTGAACTCCTGATCCTCCTGCCTCCACTTCCCAAGTGCTGGGATTACAGGTATGTATCACTACATTGATTTATAGGGTGCTGAGGATCAAACCCACTGCTTGCCTCCATGGTGGGCAAGCACTCTATCAACTGAGCCATGTCTCCAGCCCTAGTTTTAAGTCCTGAAAAAAATCTTACTAAATTGCCAGTCTAACCTCAAAAGTGCCATCCTCCTGTCTCAGCCTTACAAATTAGCTAGGATTTGAGACTTATACCACCATGTCCAGCTAGCATCTATACTTTTAAATTTTCTCTCCATGGAAAATTAATCTGCAGGTAGAGCTTATAAAGCTTGATATAAATTAATTAGAAAAAATTATGTGTAAATATAATTTCGTTATCTTTTTTATAAATCAGAAATTCTTTAAAAGCAGATAACTAAATTATTCACATATAATATATAGGCATGCTTTATCTAAAAAAAAACTTGCCTGCATTTATCCTATGAAAATGCAAATGTACATACAGTACCTGCAAAGCTTAACAGCATTTTCTTTTTTCTAGAGTTTTGGGTTAAAAATTTTTTTTTGGGGTTGGAGAGATGGCTCAGCAGTTAAGAGCACTAACTGTTCCTGCAGAAAACCTGGGTTTGATTCCAAGCACCCACATGATGGCTAACAATCATCCATAACTCCAGTTCCAGGGGAGCCTAAGTCCTCCTCTGACCTCCCAGGGCATTGCACAACATGGGTGCACTTACATACATGCAGGAAATACACACTTTAAATTTTTTTTAATTGGCCAGTTTGGTGGTGCATGCCTTTAATCAGCACTTGGGAGGCAGGGGTGGTGGATCTCTGTGACTTTGAGCCCAGCCTGGTCTATCCAGAGAGCTCCAGACCAGCTGGGGCTACAGGGAGACCCTGTCTCAAAAAGACCAAGAAGAAAAAAATTTTTAAATTAAAAATAAAAATTTTCTGGCTGCACATAGTGGTGCTCACTTGTAACCTAGCACTCAGAAGACAGAGGCATGCAAATCTTTGTGACTTTGAGGCCAGCCTGGTCTACATATCAAGTTCCAGACCAGCTGAAGCTACAGGGAGACCCTGTCTCAAAAAAAATTTTTTTTTGTGTATCTGGGTATAGTAATGCATGCCTGTAATCCAACTACTTGGGAGGCAGAAGCAGGTAGAGAGAACTTTGTGAGTTCCAGGCCAGCCAGGGCTACATAATGAAATCTTTGTGACTTTGAGGCCAGCCTGGTCTACATATCAAGTTCCAGACCAGCTGAAGCTACAGGGAGACCCTGTCTCAAAAAAAATTTTTTTTTGTGTATCTGGGTATAGTAATGCATGCCTGTAATCCAACTACTTGGGAGGCAGAAGCAGGTAGAGAGAACTTTGTGAGTTCCAGGCCAGCCAGGGCTACATAATGAGATCGTCTCAAAAAGACAAAAAATAAATTATTATTATTATTATTATTATTATTATTATTATTAGGGCTGGCAGCAGTGCTTGAGCCATGGTGCACATATAGAGTCAGTTCTCTCCATCCAGCTTTACATGGGTTCTGGGAATTTAACTTGAGTTTCCAGGCTTGTATGGCAAACACCTTTCTCTGCTCAGCCATCTCACTGGCTCTAATTTTAGGTTTTTGTGACAGAGTCTTGCTGTTTAGCCCAGGCTGGCCTTGAACTCACGGCAGCAAATCCTCCTATCTCAGCCTCCTAAGGGCTAGGATTGTAGGCATGTGCCACTATATTCAGTTCAGCACCTGCTTCTTAATATCTTTATTGGGAGGAGGTGACATGGTATGGGGCTAGGTCATGGAGTACCTGAAATATGCCATATGTATAATTTTGGTCTATTAGCTGCACTCATTTTATAGCACAAAAAATAAGTTTTAAAAATCAGTTCTAGGGGGGCTGGAGAGATGGCTCAGCGATTAAGAACACTGTTCTTGCAGAAGACCCGGGTTCGAATCCTAGCACCCACATGGCAGCTAACAACTGTCCATAACTCCAGTCCCAGGGTATCCAACAGTCTCTTCTGTCCTCTGTGGCCACTGCACGACACTAGTGCACTTACCTACATGCAGGCAATACACACATACACATAAAAATAATAGGGGCTGGAGAGATGGCTCAGTGGTTAAGAGCACTGACTGCTCTTGTAGGGGACCCAGGTTCAATTCCCAGCACCCACATGGCGGCTACAAACTGTCCTTAACTCTAGTTCCAGGGGAATCCGAAGCCCTCTTCTGACCTCCGCGGCATTGCACGACACGGGTACATTCACATACATGCAGGCAATACACTAATACACATAAAATAAAAATAATAAATACAAAAATATATATAAAATCATCATCATCATCATCATCATCACCATCATCATCATCATCAGTTCTAGGGGACCAGGCATAGTGGCGCATGCCTTGAATCCAAGCACTCTGAAGGCAGAGGCAGGCGAATCTCTGCAAGATTGAGGCCAACCTGGCCTACATAGTCAATTCCGGGCCAGCTGAGGCTATAGGGAGACCTTGTCTCAAAAAGACCAAAAAAGGTCTAGGGGCATGGTGACACATGTCTTTAATCCAAGTACTTGGGAGGCAGAGGCAGGTGGAGCTCTGTGAGATCAAGGCCAGCATGGTCTAGATAGTGAGTTTCAGGCCAGCTGGAGCTACAGAGAGACCCTGTCTCAAAACAACAAAATGAAAAAAAAAAAAAAAAAAACCCCACACCCACATGGCAGCTAACAATCATCTGTAACTCCTTCCAGGGGATTCTTCTGACCTCTGTGGGCACTGTATGACACAGGTGTGCTTACATACATGCAGGCATAACACTCATAAAATAAAATGAAAAATAATAATTTTTTTTTTTGGTCTTTTTGAGACAGGGTCTCCCTATAGTCCCAGCTGTCCTGGAACTCACTATGTAGATCAGGCTGGCCTTGAACTCACAGAGATCCGCCTGCCTCTGCCTCCCGGGTGCTGGGATTAAAGGCGTGTGCTACCACTCCCAGCTAATATTTTTTAAAAATCAGTTCTATTTACATTTACCTCATTTGATTCTTGGGAAAATGTTTTCCTGCCTTTTATCACCACCACTGTCCTTAACTCAGTCCCGGGAGGGAGGGAGAGCCAGGATTATCATCTTCATTTTGTGCTTAGGTAAACTGAGGCCTGGCTGGCCAGGCTTGGTAGCACAGACCTATAAACCCAGCTTCTTGGGAGACTGAGGCAGAACAATTCCAAGTTCAAGACATGCCTGGGCTATACAGAGTGAGTGCAAGGCCAGACTGAGAAACTTAGTGAGACCTATCGCCAAATAAAAAGTGAAAAGAGGGTTGGGGGTGTAGCTCAGCAGCAGAGCCTTGTCTAGCACATACAGGGCATACGTTGCAATCCCAGTGCTGCCAAAACAAAGCACAAACGAACGAAAAACAAGCACCCAGGTGAGGTCCCATTAAGGAAAGTGGCTTTTCTGAAGTCAGTTGACTGGGGAGCCATGGGCGAAAACCCTGAAATTCAGTTCCATGGCTGCCTTCCACTTACTGCTTTTGTTTTCTTTCTTTCTGTTCTCTCTGCCCTCTCGTGTCTGTCTTGTTCTGTTTTTCTTTCTACTTCAACATCCCTTTCCCTCTTGCTTTTGCACAATGTTCAAACCTTTGGTCACTCTGGAAACCTGCCAACCCAGGCTTCAGCCCCAGCCCCGACCCATGTCACCATAAACTCGGCATCCTGCCTGTGGCAAAGCCTTTTCCAGGCGTCAGAATGCAGAGATTACCTTGGGGTGACGCTCCAGCTGCCAACTGGCTCCAGATAAGATAAGGGTTGGGATCAGCACTATAAACAGCCCCATCCTCTCTCCTGGCCCAGACCCCAGTTGAGGCCACACCAGTCCACAAGCAACATGGCCATGCACCTGTGGGTGATCACCCTGACCTTGACTGCCCTCCTTGCCATGGACAGAGGTGAGTGGGCAGAAGCTGCTCTCTCTCTCTGAGGCTTGATGCTGGTAGGTGAACTTGGGCATGGGGGCAGAGGCAAGGCCTGGTGCTCCCTATGAGGCCTGGGCTTTCTGTGTAGTCTTTCCTTCCGTACCCATACTCTCCACAGTGGTGGACAAAACACTGACAGGGAGAAAAGGACCAGATTCAGAAAGAATTGCTGAGTCCTCTACCCCTCTTCCACTGTGGCTGTAAAGCAGGAGGCCGCTCCAGTTCAAAGCTGCATTGAGTGATTACTGGCTGGAGGCTGAAGTGACAAGGAACGTTCAAGTCTTGGCTCCACTATGTGGTGGTCGGTGCTGAGAGGGCTGGCCTGGGCCCTAGGGTTCCTATTTTGTTTTGACAAGCTGTCATTTGGGACCCAGGAAACCATGTGAGCATGTGGGAGCCCTCTCTCTGGGAGCCATTGGCTGGCTAGACACATACACCAGGGGTGGGCTTCCTCAGGCCTGGGGCACCCCAGCAGTCCCAGAGCTACTACTTTTAGGTACTTGTCTGGGCCTTTAACAATGAGGGACCAAAACAGGCCAAACAAACACCAGGGTCCTGACAGAGCTTAAATCTAGTAGAATGGAGGAGGAGAGTAGACAATAGTCTATCAGAACCTGATGCAGGGTGAGGGAAAATACCAACTGGGTGATCTGGATTGGGAGGGAACTACAGATTTAAATCAGGGGAGGCATCTTAGGCTAAGGAAAGCTTGAAGGAGTTGAGGGAGAGTCATGGAGATATTCTGAAGAAGGGTGTTCTAGACAGAGCAAACCACTGATGCAAAGGCCTGAGGTACAAACTTATCTGGAGTATTTGAGGCACTGTGTGGTTGGAGGGGAGCGAAGGGCATGGGGCAGAATGAGAGGACAGAAGAGGAGAAGGCAACTGGGAACCATATTGGTCAAGGCCTTAAAGGCCAATGTGTAAAACTGGCTTTTCTTCTGAGTGAAGTGGGAGGCACTGCAGGGCTTTAAAGAAGGTATGACTTGCCAGGCGTGGTAGTGCACACCTGTAGTCCCAGCAGTTAGGAGGCAGAGGCAGGTGGGTCTCTGTGAGTTCAAGGCCAGCCTGGTCTACATGGTAAGTTCCAGGCCAGCTGGGGCTACAGGGAGACAGTGTTTCAAAAAAAGAAAGAAAAGAATGTATGACTAGTTGGTATTAGGCTAATTGCTCTAGTTGGTATGTTGAGAATAAATAGGATGGGAAAGCATGAAGACCACTTAGGACCCATTGGACAAGAGTCATAACATTACAAGGCAATGCCTGGCAGGACCTCAGGGCCATTGACCTTATGACCACTACTTTATCCATTTCCACTGCCTGAGACACAGACCTGGCAGCTGGGGTGATAAAGAACGGGTATTCAGGCTCTGGTCAGGCACAGCTGCCGACTCTCCACCCAGCCTCCATTCTCTGAGCACTCTTCCATTAAGAACTTAGGAAGTCTGGCTTGAAGAGGGTCCTTACACACATTTCAGATTCCCACCTGGGTGGAATGAAGAAGGGGTACTTGGACCAAAGGCAAGGAATGCCCAGGGCTAAATGCAACTTTTTACCCTTTCTGTACACTCCTCTCCACAAACTCACTTTTTTTTTTCGACAATTTTATATAATTTTTATTTGTACTTTAGAATTTAAACAACTTGCTGGAACATCCTTTGTGAGGCAATATAGTTATTTTCTTTTTATCTGAAACTATTTAAATGTTAAGACAGGCTCACTAATTTGCTTTCAAGAGCAACCAACATGTTGGCTAAAAACAGCCAACTTAGCCGGGTGCGGTGGCGCACGCCTTTAGTCCCAGCACTCGGGAGGCACAGGCAGGCGGATCTCTGTGAGTTCAAGGCCAGCCTGGTCTATGTAGCGAGTTCCAGGTCAGCTGGGGTTACAGGGAGACCCTGTCTCAAAAAAGATCCCCCCCCAAAAAAGCCAACAATAATTATCTGTGATAGAGACTTGATTATGCGAGCTTCCACACCTCTGTCTCTCCTGGAGAGGAAGGGGTCTCTGTGCTTTTCTGTGATGGTTTCACTGAATTCATTACAATAGAGATGGACATTTGAAACTTGCATCCAACATCTGAGCAACCTTCTTTTGAGACACACCATATTTATTCCTTCATTTCCACATGTGGTTTCATTTCCCATGTGTATTAGTATTATCTATTATAACTGGAGATTTCCCTTGATCAATAGCTTGTTTTGCTCTGTTCTGGTTCCAGTCATGGGCATCACCAAGTTGATTAATATTATACCTGTACCCACAAACTCACTTTAGTGATCAATTCCTGACACTCACTGGCTGGGGCACTAATGAGGTGCCACGTGGAAACAGAGTAAGGAGCCCCAAGAATCTCAAGTTCATGGAGAAATAGGGGTGACCCAGGGAGTGGGATAGCACTTGGCCTTGTAACAAAGTTCAAATTCAGGTCTGCTCAGGAAACTATGGAGGACAATAGGGGAAGTTTCTGAGCCTTAGAAGGACGGTATGATTTAATACGAGGAGAATAGGAACCAGCATATTCCAGACAAGGAGAACTGCATGTGTCAAAAAAAAAAAAAACACCTGTTCAAGGACAGCGAGCAGAGAAGAGTTGGGACCATGGTGCCCTAAGCATGAACTATAGAGGTCTGGTCCAGAAAAAGACTTATTGCTCATAATAGGGAGCCAGAGGAGGGCTTTCTGCCTGTCTTGGTCAGTTTGTTGTCAACTGGGCACGTCTCAGAAGAAACCTCAACTGAAGAACTTCCTGGATTGAACTGGCCTGTGGGCATATCTGTGGGACACTTTCTTGACTGATGATTGATATGGGAGGGTCCAGTCGACTGTGGGTGGTACCATCCCTAGGTAGGTGGGCCTGAGCTGTTTAAAATGGTTAGCTAAGTGTGAGTTGGAGAGGAAGGCAGTAAGCAGCCTTCCATGGTCTCAGCTCCAGTTCCTTCCTCCAGGTTCCTGCCTTGGCTTCCCTTGATGATGGACTGCAACCCGTAAGCCAAGTAAACCACCTCCTCCCCTAAGTTGCTTTTCTTTTCTTTTCATGAGACAGGTTTTCTCTGTAGCCCCTGCTGGCCTGTAACTCCCTCTGTGGACTAGGCTGGCCTCCATCTCACAGAGACTCACCTGCCTCTGTCTCTGCATCCCAAATGCACAGTCACTATGCACAGTCCTAAATTACTTTTGATCAGTGTTTTATCACAACAAAGAAGCAAACTAGGACTCTGCCTGTTTTGGGGAGAGGGGGGATTGCTCAGTGGTTAAGAGCACTGACTGCTCTTGCAGAGGACCCAGGTTTGAGTCCCAGCACCCACATGGCAGCTAACTCCAGTTCCAGGGAATGGACACCTTCTTCGGACTTCTGCAGGCATTGCGCAACACAGGTGCACTTACACTCATGCAGGCAATACATTCACACACATAAAATAAAAATAATAAAGTATTTTAAAAATAAAATTCACTATATAGTTCAGACTGACCTTGAACTTTGATCTTTCTGCCTCTTTTTCCTAACAGTTAAGTTCCACGAAATATGCAATCTTTTTACTCAATGAATCATATGGATGATCTTTGACAATGCACACACTTGTGTCCTAAACCTCTATCAAAATACAAACTATTCCCATGGCTCCAGAAATTTCCATCCTGCCAGTGCATGCCAGACCTGCCCACAGCTCAGAGGCAGCAGGCGGTCTGTTCTGCTCAGTGCCTAGAGGCAACCACCACCTGTTTCTGCCTTTTCTCTGCCACACAGGTCTATTCAAATGTCACATATGTGGAATCTTTTGTGTCTTTTTCCTTTGCTCAGCTAAATAACTTTTTTTTTCTTTTTTAAATTTTTTATTGACTTTTTGTGTATTTCATACAGAACATCTTAACATCTTTATACCCCCTTCCCCATTGGCCTCCTCCAATAGCCCCCCCCTTGGAATTTATACATTCTATCATTTAAGGTCTATCATGTCAAAATAGTGTCCCCAGATGTTCCTCAGTGCAAGTTCATCTACTGAGGTCTAGTCAGCCTATCTAGAGTCTCTCCCCTTAAGATCAGCTCTTCCTCACCCAGCAGTAAGTAATCATCAGCTAAATATTTTTGTGATTCAGACTCATTGTGTCTATCAGGTGCTTGAGTTCTTGCTGTTTTGGGTATCGTTTTTTGTTTGTTTGTTTGTTTGTTTTGTTTTGTTTTTTGTCTTTTTGAAGCAGGGTCTCCCTGTAGCCCCAGCTGTCCTGGAACTCACTATGTAGACCAGGCTGGCCTTGAACTCACAGAGATCTGCCTGCCTCTTCCTCCCAACTGCTGGGACTACAGGCGTAAGCCACCATGCCCGGCTTGGGTATTTTTTTTTTTTAATATAAACTTTTTAGTTTTATTTTTAAGAATTCCATACATGTATACAATGAAATATGATCATATTCCCCCTCCAAATGTCCCATATTCCCCAACACGCCCCTTCCCAACCTCATGTCTTTTTTTTTTTTTGATAACCTAAGTTTCATTTAGTACTGCCTGCTGCTCATGTGTGTATAAGTGTGGGGTTATCCACTAAAGTGTGGGAAATTTACCTGTGGCCACATCCTCAAGAAAGAATGATTCTCCCCAGGAACTATCCACTGCCAATAGCTACTGAGTAAAGGGGCGGGACTTAGAGATCATCTGCCCCATCTATGCTGGGATTTTCGCTGGCTTGATCCTATGCGGGTCACCACAGCTGCTGGGAGATGATGATTGTCATAGACAAATCATGCCCAGAAGACAGCATTTCACGGCACTCCTCCCCATCCTTTGACTTACATCCTTCCTGCCTCCTCTTCCACCATGTTCTTTGAACCTTGGTGGTGGTGGGCGTAATCTAGATGTCCCCTTAGGGCTGAATGCTCTCAGTCTCTCATCCTCAGCACTCTGACCAGTTAGGACTGCTGCTCACTGTAAAAAGAAGCTTCTCTGACTGAGGCTGAGGGCAGCCCAGGCCTGTCAATGCTGGGAGCTAGGTGGACTGAGGTTTGGGTTGAGGGGTTGGAGTCTAGGGAATCTTTTACTTGTTGAGACCGGAAACTGAGTGGACTGTGGAAGTTTGGCGAAGTCTATTTCTTTAATTTTTGAGGCAAAGTCTCTCTATGTAGTCCAGGCTGGGCTCAAACTGCTAAACCCCCTGCCTTGGGCTCCTGGAGTGCCAAGACTATAGGTGTGTCTCACCGCAGTTGCTGTTTTTTTAATTTTTATTTTATTTTTTGTGTGTGTGTCTTTTTGAGACAGGGTCTCCCTGTAGCCCCAGCTGTCCTGGAACTCACTATGTAGACCAGGCTGGCCTCAAACTCACAGAGATCCACCTGCCTCTGCCTCCCAGCTGCTGGGATTAAAGGCGTGCGCCACTATGCCCGGCTTATTTTATTTATTTTTATTTTTTGGTCTTTTTGAGACAGGTGTAGCCCGAGCTGGCCTGGAACTTGATTTGTAGGCCAGACTGGACTTGAACTCACAAAGATCTGCCTGCCTCTGTCTCCTGAGTGCTGGGATTAAAGGTATGTGCCACCATGCCGAATTATGGGCTTTTTTTTTTTTTTTCTCAATTGTGTTTTTTAGTATTATATTTATTGTTTTTATTTTATGTGTATGAGTGCATTGCCTGCATGTAAGTAAGTGCACCTGTGTTGTCCAGTGCCCACAAAGGTCAGAAGAAGGCATCAGATTCCCCTAGAACTGGAGTTAAGGATGGCTGTTAGCAGCCATGTGAGTGGTAGGAGTTGAACCCGGGTATTCTGCAAGAATAGCCAATGCTCGTAGGCGCTGAACGATCTCTCCAGTCCATTTGTGTTTTGTTTTGAGACAAGGTCTTACTCGGTAGCCCAGGCTAGCCTGAAACTCACTATATGTAGTCCAGACTAGCCTTGAACTTGTGGTGATCCTCCTGACTCTGCCTCTGCAGTACTGAGTTTATAGGCATGAGCCACACAGCCCATGTGTGTGGCTTGTTAGCTGCTTGTTTTTATTGCTGAGTAGTACTCCACAGTATAGAAGTTTCACACTTTTTCCATTGTCACATGGAATATTTAGGCTTTTTTTAGTTCTAACAGTTATGACATAGATGGGTTTGAGCAGTATTGTGACAAGCCTAGATTTATTTACATTTTGAGCTCCTGCTGTCAGGCTTTTACAACATACCAGAGGCATGTTGTTTCTGTTCCTTTCTCTCCTCTCTGCCGAGGAAATCTTATTAAGTAATGTCTCCAGGAAAAGGTAAAATCATATTACCTTGCCCACCTCCAGTGCTATGGGACACTACTTCTGGAGACAGCTTTGTTCACAGTAGCATAGCTTTCTGCTTCTCTCGGGGCCCAAGTCCACCTTCCTGCAGCCTCTGCACAGATGGGCTCCTCTCTGTGAGGGCAGAAGAGTCTGTCCATCTCTCCATTGATCCTGGATAGCTCTTCAGGAAGCAGCATGTCTTCTCCAACTTTCAGAGCCACACTCCCTCCCACAAGGGAAGGCCTTAGACACAGCTCCAGGTCCCTGTTCACTTGCCATGTTCGTGGTCACAACAGTTTGCTCTTGTCCCATGAACATCTCAGCCAAACCTTGAGAGGCACAACTGTGTGTGTAGGAAGAGTCAGGCTTAAGAGTAGCAAGCCTACAGCTGGGCATGGTGGAACCTGCCTTTAATCCCAGCACTCAGGAGGCAGAGGCAGGCGGATTTCTGTGAGTTCAAGGCCAGCCTGGTCTACATAGTAAATTCCAGGCAGCTGGGCATACAGGGAGACCCTGTCTCAAAAAGACCAAAAAATAAAACAAGAAAAAAGTAGCAAGCCTGTGTGCAAATCCTAGCTCTGCTTTTTTAAACTGTGTCCTTCCAGCACTCTGAGTCTTTCACACCAGTAAAGCGGGCCAATAGACAGACCTGAGACCTGCATGCATTACTGAGGAGCATGTGAGAGGAGCACCTGCCGGGAGGAAGGAAATCAGCTGAGTGTAATCACAACGTCAGGTAGTCCTGTAGGGAGCTTTGCAGTTAGGTGGCTCCTCAGCCCTGCCCCACACAGAGACCAGAAGGCTGGGGTTTGTAGCCATACCATCGACAGGGCCTGTCCTGGGCAGGGGGAGTGAGGGTGGGCAAGGCAGCTCCACGCCCGAAGGGTCATTCCTGGGGAAGAACTGGCGGTGAGCAGCCAGCACTTGTGGCAGCTGGGAGCCAGAGTTGGTAGCAGGCCTGTGCCAGGCTCTGAGACGCAGACACAGTGTCCACTACTGCATCCTTCCTTCTGGTACAGAGTGGTGCAGAGGACTTAAAATCATGTATTCTTGACTGGGTGTGGCAGTACACAGCTTTAATCCCAGTATCGGAGGGGCAGAAGCAGGTGGATTTCTGTGCGTTGGAGGCTAGCTTGGTCTATAAAGTGAGTTCCAGACCGGCCAGGATGACATAGTGAAGACCCTTTTTCCTTTTCTTTTCTTTTTTTTAAAGTATTCTCAGTATCTGGCACATAGTTAACTGCTGGTTTTTAAATTATTTTATGGAACACAATACTTTCACTGAGATCTAACTAGTAAGAATCAGGCTGGATCATCACCTCCCTAATTCTAGACTTTCTGTCTTTAGTCATGTAATCTAAAATGGTTCAGCTTTCTGGCAGCCCCACCATCCTTTGTCTCACTATCTTTCCTTGAAGAATCCAGATTGCCAGGTGCCCCAGAGAAGGAAAAATAGTTCTCAGATCCCAAGACCAGGGACTTGGAGCTGACATCCCCTCGTTTTTCTTTCAGAAGTGCCAGTGTCAGCAGGAAAGCTTGTTTTCTGGAGAATGGTAAGTCTGCTGCTCACTGCTCGGCTTTCGCTCTGCGGGAGTCTTCTCAGCTACACGAAGATGCCAGCAGCTGTTCTCCTCCACTCTCCTACTGACACCTTCAGTGGCCCGAGGGCTAGGGTGACCTCCTGAACCTTCACTGTCCTCAGAACACCTCCTCCAGGCTGAGCAGACCCAAGTTCCAAGACTGGCCTCAACCCTCAGGATCTGCCCCAAATCTGGTCTCCAGGGTTCCCTTCCTCAGTAGCACACCTTACCCAGTACAGCAGGACATAGCACTTGCTCTACTTAGCATAGTACAGACAGACAGAACACAGTGAGAAAACTCGTCCCCCAAACAAGCAGGATGACTCCTGAGAAACAACATCCAAGGTTGGCCTCCACATGCATGTACAAGTGTACACACACACACACACACACACACACACACACACACACAAGACCATGTACGCCTGGGTAAATTCAGGCATGCCTAGGTTGTGAGGCATTTTCTAGGAATGAAGAATTATTCTGTCTACTGGGGTCTGCAAATTGAACCAGCTTCTAGAAATACCCTCTGAGGAGTGTGTGAACCAGCCCCTGGAAGCTTGAGGGTACAAACTTACTCCACACACATACACATAGACACCTGAACACGGTTAGATGCCACATACTGGGGCTCAACATAGGCTCTAACATATGTACACATCCAGCCACATGTATACATAAGTATGTACTCACATACAAGCAAACATACCACGGGGCCCTGAGTGGTTCGCTTCACATTCATGGGACCCATCATGGGGCCTTTCTGAGTCCCCTCTCTCTTCTGTCTTCCACAGCCCATCTGTGAGCACATGGCAGAGTCTCCAAACTGTCCCCAGACACCTAACCTGATCTGTGGTACCGATGGGGTCACATACAAAAATGAATGCTATCTCTGCGTGACCCGGATGTAAGTCTGCCTTCCCCTCAGCTTGCTTGGGTTGGTCCCATCTCTGGTACAAGTCTGAAAGGAACAGGACTTAACCTTGTCTTCTCTCACACGCACACACGCACGCACGCACGCACTCTTACTTGGCCAGAGAATAGTCCTCAGTCATTTGTCACTAAGACAATGCGTCCAAATGTAACTCAAAGAAGCACAGAACTCTAAGTAGAAAGCCAGAAACTGGTGGAGGTAAGAGGAGGGGGCAGAAACCCTGGGTTCTTTTCCTTGTTCTGTCCCTATCTGACAAGGTGATCTTATCTAATCTCTCATTCCCCAGCCAACAATTATTTATTGAGCACTTACTATGTCTAGGTACTGAGAACCTCGGTGATCTCTTAGGGTTAGGCTAGGAGGAAAGTCAGGCCAGTGATTAGCCTGCTGCAACACAAAATGCTCCAGGCTCAGTTGAGGCACACAGGGTGTCTGGGAGCAGAAAAAAAAGACGGAGAAAACTGCTTAGGGGAGTTAAAACTTGAGCTCATTTCTGAGGCATTGGTAGAAATGTTAGAAAAAAGGAAGAAGGAAAGATAATTCCAAATATAAGAAAAGGAGTTTGGAAAGGTCTAGAAAAGGAAGTCAGTTTCTTTTGAGGAAATACAGGAAGTTGGACATGCTGGAATGTAAAATGAAGGAGGCAGTATGAGATTGGGAGGGGGTGGGTAACAGAACATGATCTTGATATATCAGATCACCTACTTGGTCTAAGTTTCCTTACCAGTAAAACCCTCAGAGTTGGACTAAGAGCCAAGTGAGATCATGGAAACTGCAAAGCTGTCTAGCAAGATATGAGTTTATACTGGAAGAAATATAAGGAGAAAGACATTGCCCTAGCTTAGGAGAAAAGTCATGGTCAAGATTCATAGTTAGGGGGCTGGAGTTAGGGGGCTCAGCTGCTCTTCCAGAGAACCTGGGTTCAGTTCCCAGCACTCACATGAAGTAGCTCACAACTGCGTGTAACTCCAGTTCCTGGGAACCTGATGCTGTCATCTGGCCTCTAAGGGTAACTGCACTCACATGCACTCACACAAAATAGGACATACTTTGGGGGTAGAACTGACAGGGGTGGTCTATGATTGATGTGAAGGATGAGGGGAAGAGAGAAGGCAAGAGAAACATGTCCATTTCTTCTTCTCTCCCTTCTTGTCTTCAGTTCTTTCTTCTTGAAACAGGGTTTTGCTATGTTGTCCAAGTTGATCTTAAACCCACAAACTCGTGATCCTTTTTTTTTTTTTTTTTTCAGTACTGGGGATTTAATCCACAACCTCTTGCACAACATTCTGTCACTGAGCTACAGTATATCCATCACTCTTTTTACTTTTATTTTTTGAGACAGGGTCTCCCTGTAGCCCCAGCTGGTCTGGAACTCACTATGCACATCAGGCTGGCCTCAATCTTAGAGATCCACCTGCCTCTGGGATTAAAGGCATGTACCATCACACCCAGCTACTTTATGAGATAAGGTCTCACTAAGTTGCCAAGGCCTTGAACTCACTTTATAAACCCACGCAACTTTGAACTTGGAATCCTTTACCCATTTTTCTGAATGAGGGATTACCAGGCCATACTCCATATACTTACTGATGGACTTGGATGGCCATACTCCAGAATGGGCATTACAGGGAGATAAGTATGATGTTTTTGGACAGTTGGTCTCTGGTGGATCTCAGTCGAGCTATGTGATGGCTAACCATGTGAACAGGCACAACAGATATCTGACTGGAGAGATTTGGCAGCTATCAGTGTGCAGTAGTAGTTGAAACCCCAGGAAGCTGAACTTTCTCGGGGGTGTCTAAGAAGGAAAGTTTATAGGGGGTATGCTCAGACCCCTGAGATCTGTTCCGTATTTGGATACTTTGAGGAGGGGCTCAATCAGCAGGGAGTCTTAGATAGACTGGGCCTGGTCTTGAATGGTTTGTTATAGTTCTCACAGAGATGGCCTTATCTGTTTCCTTTCATTCTAGAAAAACCAAAAAGGACATCCAGATCTTGAAGGATGGCAAGTGCTGAGCTTACAGGTACCTCAAGCCACGAAGCTTCAGTCTGGAGAACAGTAATGCACGCAAGAGGATATGCTGTGAAATAAAAGATGCAGCCCAACCTGGTGAAGTGACCAGTCTTTGGGAACTCGGGAGGTGATGGCAATAGAGGTAGGGTAGACCTTGACAGCCCTCCCTGCTCTGAATCTGATATCCAACCGCTCTGGTGGTCCTTAACTTTGTCACAAGTCCCCATTAGAGGTCCCAGTTATCTTCTGTCCACTTGAGGCCAGCCTCTGACCCAGGACACTGTCCAGTCCTTCTGACTATCTCAGGCCAAGAACCTAGGTAAAACGAGTATCCTCGGGAACTATTGTGTGGCACCCAATCCCTGCATGGTTTTCTCCTGGGCTGAACCAGCACTCTGAGGCAGACACAAGGCACAGACACTTGACATAGCACAGCTGACACTCAGGTACAGCTGAACTGCTTCATGTGATATCAAATTATTGTTTGGGGTTTTTTGGAGATTGAGACAGGGTCTTACTCTGCAGCCCAGACTGGCCTTAAATATTCCTGCCTCAGCCTCCCTAGTGCTGCAAACCAGGTCTTTACTAACAAACATTCAAAACCAGGCACTGCCCCATATCCTGTAAGTACATGCCTGCACAGGTCACCTGGAAACCCCTGGATCTCCCAGCTCCTGGAACAGCAGGATCACTGGCAGGGCTGCCCTGCTCTTTAAGTCAATATCCACTTTAACTGGCTGACATTAGAGATGACCTCCAAGCACATACAGCATTCAGAAATCACACAGAGCTCACAGCCCACGGTATATGTTGAATGTCATCTCTTTTGGTATAAACCTGGAGGAGCTTCTTTATACGATGGCAGGATAAAGGGTGGGAGGGCTTGGCTGGGCAAAGCAGTTTTACTCAGGCTCAGATTTCTGCTTTAAGGGTGTAGAAAGAACAGGAAATGCTCTGAGAAGACACATCTGACAAAAGCTGGTTAGGAAGGGCAAGAACCAACATTCCCCAGGCCAGTGAAGTGGGAAAACCAGGCAAGAGTTGTTGCTGATACAGTCACAGGTAGTTCATCTATCTACAGACCTTTCTATTATTATTGATCAACTTGTTTCCCACCTGCAGGTGAGTGCATGGTGTATGATTAAGTATGGTTGTAAGGGGGCTGGAGAGGTGGCTCAGTGCTGACTGCTCTTACAGAGGACCCAGGTTCGATTCCCAGCACCCACATGGCAGCTGCGAACAGTCCTTGACGCCAGTTCCAGGGAAATCTGATACCCTCTTCTGGCCTCCGCAGCATTGCATGACATGGGTGCACTCACATACATGCAGGCAATACACTCATGCACATAAAATAAAAAATATAAAAAAGTATGGTTGTAAGCAAATCAAAACATTAGTGGCTTAAACATGCAGAAATAGTGTCTGCCACAAAGAACTCTGCAGAATTATAACTTCATGCTCCTCCTAGATTTTAACTCTGCCACTCTCATGTCAGTTTCTACCTCAAAGTACAAGGCAGCTGCTCTAAGCCCAGCCATACAAATGAGGAAAAGGCATACTACCTATCTCCAAAGACACCTCTCAAGACAGGCATAATGTGTTCACATCCCAACAATTAAAATATCACCCCTTGCCAGACAAGAGCAAGGAGACTGAGAACTATAATCCTCATCTCTGTTAAGCTAAATGGTAGGACTTATTGTATGAGAAGAAAGTGGACATTGGTGACATCTGAAAGTTTCCATCTCAAGTGGGAAGGGCCTCCTACACCCGCGTAGCACAGATTGGCCAGGCATTTCCTCGGTGATCCTCCTCAGGCTCTAACAATGTGTCAGACACCCCACTGGAAGAAATAACTAATTCCCCACTTATAAATGTGGACCACTCTGAAGCCTAAGCGTGAGTCTTTAGACTATATCCTGGTTTTTGTTGGGGTAGAGGGGTAAGGAGGGGTGCTAGAGACAGAAGCCAGGGCCTTGGACATACCAGGCAAGCATTCTACCACTGAGCTCCATTCCTTCCTGAGGACCCCTGTCTATGGCAGTGACCATGCTGACCTGGCCATTACTGATGGGTCAAAGATACTTCCCAGGATTTTTCAAATTGGAAGTAAACAGAGGCAGTTCCTCTAGTGAAGCTGTAAGGTATGTGGCACAAATGCTATGAGGTGTTTGAGTTCCTGAAGTCCAGATGCCCTTCACCGTCCCAAAGTCACATGGCATAACTTGTCCTCTTGCTTGTCCAGGTTTTTTTAATTACTTAAAAATTTTTGGGACAGGGTCTCACCATGTAGCCCAGGCTGGCTTTGAACTCAAGATCTTCCTGTCTGTGTCCCATGTGCTGGGTTTATAGGCGAATATTGTCATATTGGGTTCTGCCCATAATTTTGCTATTTCACCGAATCTCTTTGGAGTTAAGTTCTAGTACCTTTAAGTAAAAATTCCTGACCACTATATGAAAAAAGGCTTCTAAGAAGAGGTGGCCAGGAGTGATTGTGCCCTTCTGTAATCCCAGCACCTGGCAGGCTGAGACAGAAGGATTACAATTTGAGGCCAGCTTGGGCCATGTAGCAAAATCTTCTCTCCAATGGAGGATAAAGAAAAGGGAGAAAGGAGGGGGAGAGGGAAAAGGAGGAGGAAAGAATACTGTACCTTGAATGATAACGTAAAAATTACTCACTGTATAATATGTAGGAAAGTTTCTAACTGTGAGGCTACAAGACTAGTTTGTGGAGTTACACTCCCCAATTCATCCTCCCTGTGTAGGACTGATCAAGTCCTAGGAAAGTGGGTAACTTAGAGGGACATCCTTTCTTTGTCCCCAGGCAGAGCTACCCTATGGTTAGTAATTCTATGTAGGTGGGGCCTATCCCATAGTCGCCATGCTGCACACCACCCCAGCAGTCTGGGCCTTAGGGCCTCTTTTCTCAACCTTTAAATAAGACAGTGTTATAAATTCCAATGCCAACAGAGCCTTCACAGTCAAGTGCAGCTGTGGAATTTCATATTCACTATGGAGGACCTACTATACACTAAGTAACATGCTTGAAACGTTAAGAAGACAAAGCCAGGCATGGTGGCACATGCTTTCAATCCCAACACTTGGGAGGCAGAGGCAGGCGGATCTCTGTGAGTTCAAGGCTAGGCTGGTCTATATATTGAGTTCCAGGCCAGCTGGGACTATAGGGAGACCTGTCTCAAAAATACCAAACAAAACAAAACAAAACAAAAACAAAGACAGGGTCTTGGGGCTGGAGAGATGGCTCAGCAGTTAAGAACACTGACTGTTCTTGCAGAAGACCCGGGTTTGAATCCCAGCACCCACATGGCAGCTAACAACTGTCTGTAACTCCAGTTCCAGGAGATCCGACAGCCTCTTCTGTCCTCCCGTGGGTATTGCACAGCACAGGTGCGCTTACCTACTACATGCAGGCGTAACACTCATACACACAAAATAAATTTTAAAAATATATTTTTTTTAATTTATAAAAAAGAAGACAGGGTCTTACAGTGTGGCATAGGCTGGCCCGGAACTCACTACATAGGCCATGTGGCCTTGAACCTGTGGCAATCCTCCTGCGTCAGCCTCCTCAGTGTTAGGATTACAGGTACGAGCAACCTGCCCAGCAAAAACTCTAGGGTCTCTTTATCCTAAAAGACGTAGAAGCCATTGGAGGTTTCTCAACAAGGTTCTCACATAGTTTATCATCATTCAGGCTGCTCTGTGGAAAATGAAGTAGAGAGGGCCAAAGACCAACTATCTTGGTTTCTTTTTCTGTTGCTATAATAAAATACCCTGACAAAAGCAACGTAAGGAAGAAAAGGTTTATTTGGCTCACAATTCCAGGTTAGTCCCTCATGGCAGGGCAGTCACAGCAGCAGGAACTTGAAGCAGTTAGTCACATTGCATCCACAGTAAAGAAGCAGAGACATGAATGTATGCATGCTAGGGCTCAGCTTGCCTTCTCGCACTCACACGGTTCAGAATCCCCTGCCCAGGGAATGGTGCCCTCCACATTGGGCAAGTTGTCCCACCTCAATCAATATAATCCAGATAATCCCCACAAAGACAAGTACACAGGCCAACCTAATCTAGGCAATCCCTCACTGATTTCCTTCCCAGACAATTCTAGATTATGTCAAGATGACAATTAAAACTAACCATCACACCAAGAAAGGAGATTAACAGGAAGACAGAGTAAGAAAAATGAGCATGTATAACCCCAAGTCAGTGAGGAAGCAGATGATACCCTGGGGATGTTAGAGTGCTTACCTAGCATGCACAAGGTGCCTGGTCTCATCCTCAGCACCACAAAAAAAAAAAAGAAAACAAAAAAGAAAGCACATAGCTCTGACATAAAACTGTGCAATTTTGTGTTGTAACTTTGCCACTATTTTGTTCGTTTCCTCTACTTCATTACGTGAGGTTTAGATGACTAATAAATACAAAGAACTTAGAATAGTACCTGGCATATAGTGACTTCTTTCTGTGTTCAGGTGCAGGTGTAAGTGTGTGTGTGTGTGTGTGTGTGTGTGTGTGTAGGCCAAAGGACAACCTGAGGTGTTGTTCCTTGAACAACATCAACCCTAGATTTTTAAAAAACAAGCTGAATGTGGTGGCCTACGCTTGCCCAGGAATCTAGACTGGCTGGTCAGCAAGCCCCAGGGATCTACCTATCTTCATCTCCTTAGCACTAGAATTACAAGTATGTTGTCACCATGCCCAGCTTTTTTATATGGGTTCTGGGGATCAGACACAGGTCCTCCTGCTTACCTAGCAAGCACTTCCATAACTGAGCTATCTCCCTAGCCCCCACAGTAGCTTAATAAATGTGGCCCAGGGCCACACATCTGCCATATGAAAACAGTGAACTGTTCTGCTAAACCTAGGAGTGGTCTGGGATGAGCCCTGAGTCTTGTCCACCCATTTACCTTTACCAACAGCTTTGTCTGTTAGCTTAGCCAGTCAGTCCCAAATTCTTGTAATTTCAGTGAATCCATTTTGGTCAAATGAGAGAGGCCTCAGAGTAGCCTGTCAAGAGCCTATCTCCTAAGCGCCATGTTAAGATATGATGTGACAGCAACTGATCACTTAAAAAGGATTCTAGCACACAGAGTCACTCTCAACTTCAACAAACATAAATTCAGGCAAACAAGTCTTTTCTTTCTCATACCTCATAAAAACTAAAAACAAACAAACAAAAAACCCACAACATACAAAACTCTATACAGTAGTATATACCTGCAATCCCAGCACTCAGGAGGCAAAAGATAACAAGTTCAAGATCAGCCTGGACTGTATAAGATGACTCTGGAGGGAGAGAAGGAAGGGAAGGGGGAGAAGAGGAGGAAGAAGGAGATAGAAGAGAGACATACAGACATACAGAGAGAGAGAGAGAGAGAGAGAGAGAGGATCAAAATGCTCCTCAGTTTGGTGATAGGCATATAAACTGGTTTCAATAGCAATTATAGTAGAAGTCCACAAGATAGACAGGAATGGCCTCAAAGGAAATCTAGAGCTCAGAAGGATATAGTTACCAGAAGTTGCTAGGCATGGCACATGGGATCCTGGCACTACAGAGGTAGAGGCAGGGGGTTCTCTGTGAGTTCGAGGCCAGCCTCGTCTCCATAGCAAATCCAAGTCAGCTATGGCTACAGCGAGACCCTGTCTCTAAAAGACCTCAAAACCCAGAAGTTGCCAGCTGGCTTCACCCTTACTTTACACACTTTGAATCCCCATCTTTGCTTTCCAGAGCCATGGTTCTAGACTGGTTTCAGATAGAGACTTAGTTGATACTGTGCTGCACTTTTTTTGAGACAGGGTTTCCCTGTACCCGTGGCCGGCCTGGAAGTCACTATGTAGACCAAGCTGGTCTGGAACTTGCAGAGATCTGCCTGTCTCTGCCTCCTAAGTATTGATATTGTGCTTTTAACAGCCTCGAGATTTGCTTGGGGGTAAAGAAATTCTGTACCAATCACAGGCCCCATCCTAGAATGGCCCCTTAAAGTCAAGACCTGTGGCCAGGAGGGATAACTGAAAGATAAGATCAAGGTCTTTAACCCAGTCAGATGTTCTGGAATTGGGTCACAAGGCACTCCATGACTGCCTGTGTGTGCCATTCCCAACCAGATGCAACCTCCCAGAAATTCTGGGTTTACATCTATGAAGTCTGAGATGACAAGATCAGAAAACTCTTGTGAATCTGCAGACCAGCGTGCCCTATAAACCTGGAACTGGCTCCAGATAATTAAGCACTCTCAGCAGTCTAGAAAGCATCCAAATGTCAAGAGTTGGTAAAACATGGGCAGGGAGGCATTCTCCTAAAAAGGCAGCTGCTGGACAGAACGACCACACAGAGCCAGAATGAGAAAACAGGAGCTCTACTTTAGGTTCCGATGACAGTACTTTTTCACTGAGAACCAGTGAAGGAGTAGGAAAATTGGCAATTAGCCAGTTGCCTCTGGCAGCCCTGGAAAAACAGGCAACTTCTGTTCCAGAGAGGGCAGAGCTGTAATGCCGCTCTTCAGGCCAGCACAGCCTCTCTACTGCACTTCATTCAGCAAGGGCCAAGTTTGCAGACTGCAGCCGCTCAGTCTCCTGGCAGATGTACTGCTCCACCGTGTCACACTCAGCTAGGAATGCCTACAAGACAGACAAGGGTAGTGAAGGGCCCTCCCAGGACTAGCCAACCATTGCCCATAGAGGGATCTTTATTCAGCTCTTTGGGGGAACTTAGGTGAGATACTAAACAGGCTGGACCTGGACATGGGCACCCAGCCTAGACTCCAAGGTTAAGGGGAGCAAGAATGAAATATCAAGTTATGGTTCTGATCATGCCCTATGCCAACAAGTCCCTAAAGGTGGTATAGACAGTTGTACAACTATACAATTGAAGGAGGCACTGCACACACAAGGAACGCTTACCGGAACTGTGTGTCAACCCTATCTGCTCTCCAGTGAACGTCTTCCCTAAAATGACTGAATTTGTATAAAATTATAGGAATATTCATGCTGATAAACAGTATCAAAAAAACTGCCTGTAGCTGGGCATGGTGACACACATCTTTAGTTCCAGCACTTGGGAGGCAGAGACAGGTGGATCTCTGTGAGATCAAGGCCAGCCTGGTCTACACAGGGAGTTCTAGGCCAGCTGGGGCTATAAAGAGATCTTATCTCAAAACAAAACAAAAAAACCCGCCCACGTCTTTAACACAGCTCTATCATACCCTATTTTGAACAGATAAACATATCAAACACACTAATACATTACAATTTGTCATGTACTGCCACACAACTCACCTGAACTTTTTTCACCAAACTCTTCCTTTTTAGTCTACTATCTTTAAAATCCTCTGGTAGAACCTATGGAAGAAAATGTTGATGCCATAAAAAAATCCTCAGTGACAGTAACACAAGACATGTTGGAAATTCACACAGAACATCAAACAGGTTACCAACAGAAAGATAATGTGCATTTTCAGGAACCCTTTCTCCAGGTTCTCATTCATACAAAAGCTCTCTTGTTTGCAATGTCTCACCATACACTTGATCTGGAACATAGATCGTGTTCTTTCACTGTTTCCTAAGTAGAGATACCATGTCCTGGACAAGTCATGAGCTCACCATGCCAGGAAAAGTACCTTCTGTTTTTGTTTTGTTTTGTTTTGTTTTGTTTTGTTTTGTTTTTAAAAACCCCTCTCCCCAACAGAATCCCAAGCCCAGAGAAATTAACTCTTAAGAATGAAGCATGCTGGGGGCTAGAGAGATGGCTCAGTGCTTAAGAACACTGGTTGTTCTTGCAGAAGATTCCCTTTTCTCTTAAAAGGAGTAACAGTAGGACTGATTTTGTAGAATAAATAGGATAAAATGTGAAAACTTCTCTTTGTACTTCCAGATACAAATACTTATAAATATTAATTTTTATTATTGTGGATCAGGGGTTGGTAAAGATTTTTTTTAAAGGGCTAAGTGATATTTGAGGCTTTGAAGACCATATAGCCTCTCATAGCTACTCATATCTACCTGTGCAGTGTGAAAGCAGCCATAGATACTATGGAAGTGGCTCAGGCTGCTGTGCCTCAGTAAAGCTGTTTGTATAAGAATGAAGTAAGCCAGGCGTGGTGGCACACACCTATAATCCCAGCACACAGGAGGCAGAGGCAGGCAGATCTCTGTGAGTTCAATGCCAGCTTGGTCTACAGAGTGAGTTCCAGGGGCTGGGACTACAGGGAGACCCTGTCTCAAAAAGACCAAAAAAAAGAATGGGGAAGCCAGGCATGGTGGTGCATACCTTTAATCCCAGCACTTGGGAGGCAGAGGCAAGAGGATCTTTATGAGTTCTAAGCCAGCCTAGTCTACAAAGTGAGTTCCAGGCCAGCTGGGACTACAGAGAGACCCTGTCTCAAAAAGACAAAGCAAGGGGCTGGAGAGATGGCTGAGCAGTTAAGAGCACTGACTGCTCTTGCAGAGGACCCGGGTTTGATTCCCAGCACCACTCACATGGCAGCTAAGAACTGTCCTTAACTCCAGTTCCAGGGGAATCCAATATCCTCTTCTGACCTCTGAAGCATTGCATGGAGTACACTCACATACATGCAAGCAATACACTTGTACAAATAAAATTAAAAAATTAAAAAAAAAAAAAAAAAGGACAAAGCAAAACAAAAAAGAGAACCTGGGGAAAATGATTCAATAGCCTCAAAAATCTGGCTCTGTTTGAATTCTATGTAAGGAATGAACTCTGGAGTATTAGGGAAAACAAAGACCTATGTTTCTTTCTTTTTTAAAAAAAAATATTTATTATTTTTATTTTATGTGTATGAGTATATTGCCTGCATGTATGTGAGTGTACCCGTGTCGTGCAATGCCGTGGAGGTCAGAAGAGGGCTTCAGATTCCCCTGGAACTGGAGTTAAGGATGGTTTGTAGTGGCCATGTGGGTACTGGGGATCGAACCCGGGTCCTCTGCAAAAGCAGTCAATGCTCTTAATTGCTGAGCCCCAGACCTATGTTTCTTTAACCATGAGATCACAAACCAATTGGGCTCCAGGTTTGTGACTATAGATGCTGACAGCACACATATATATGTGACAAAAGCCCTATGTTGGTGAGCTGTGAGTGTCTAGCGATCAGAAGCTCCATAATTCATCCAGGACCTAGTATGGTATCTGACACACAACAGCAGATGCCTGACAGCCTCAAATGACAGGTTTGCCCAGGCAACAGAAGTGTAATACTGAAGGAGTGAAACAGCCTGAAACACTATCATAGAAAACTAGTTCCTCTGTGCTGAGTATTTACTTACCATTGTGTCAATCTCCTCCAAGATCCTCATGAACTGTTCTACTGTGGCCTTTACTCTCCTATCAAGTTTGCAGAGAGCCTCTGCTTGCAGTTCCTTAGCCAGAAAACCCTGTGAGGGAATAATGCATTATTGCAAGGGTTTCTTGAGACTTATGGAAAAACCAAGTCACAATACTGATGAACTGACCCAGAATTTACCATTGCTCTAACAGGCCAGGCTGTATCTTGGACTTTCACTTCTTGGGAAAAACAGAAAAGCTGGCCTTGGGTCAGTCTAAGAATTTGAATGCTTCCTGTGGTCTACCTACCATGAAGCCCTTAGTCACAAGTGTATACACATACACAAGAGGCAGACATTAAGAAAACTCATCTGATGCCAAGTCTAACAATAAATTCAATGCCTGGAACCCACATGTTGGAAAGAATTGACTCCCTCAAGTTGTCCTCTGACCTCCACCCATGTGCTATGGCATGTATGCCCACAAACATACACACATGCACACAAAATAAATAAAATATAATTTAAAAAATTAAAAATAAATTCTCTTTTTAAAACAGATTTAAAAGCTGAGCATGGTAGTATAAGCCTATAATCCCAGCACTCTGGAGGCAGGGGCAGGAGAATCACAAGTTCAAGGTCAGTCTAGTGGACATAGCAAATTCCAGGCCAGTCAGGACTACATAGTAAAATCATGTCTCAAAAGGCCAAAAAAAAAAGCTGGGTATCATGGTAATTCTAGCACTTGGGAGGTGGAAGCAGGAAGATCAAAGGTTCAAACAAAACCAGATTTGGCTACATAGCAAGTTTGAGGCCAGCTTGGGCTATATGAGACTTGTCTCAAAAATAAAGACACAGCCTTCAGGGTTTGGGATGGAGTGCTTTGCTTAACAAGTATAAGGGCATTAACAGATGTGGACTTGCATCCTGCCATTTGCTGACTTATGGTCTTTATTAGGATCACTGTGTTTGCGTGCACAGGTGCTGCTCATGAGTACATGTGCATGTGCAGATCACAGGTCTGCACTGAGTGACTTCCTCAATTGCTCTCCACCTTATTTTTTTTTAACATTTTATTTATTATTTTTATTTTATGTGTATGAGTGCATTGCCTGCATGTATGTGAGGGCACCCATGTCGTGCAATGCCGTGGAAGTCAGAAGAGGGCTTCAGATTCCCCTGGAACTGGAGTTAAAGACGGTTCATAGCTGTCATCACACCCAGGTTTTACTTGGGTGCTGGGGATCAGAGCTCAAGTTCTCATGCTGTGTAGAAAGCACTTTACCAGCTGAGCCATATCCCCAGCTCTGGCTTATGATCTTGAACAAATTAATTTCCATGCCTATGTTCTCAGTTGTAGGGTTGAGACAGGGTCTCACTGTGTAGATGGCTGGGCTGGAACTTGCTATGTAGACCAGGTTAGCCTCAAACTTAAGAGACTCTGCCTCTGCCTCCATAGTGCTGGGAATTACAAGTGTGTACTACTATGCCTGACCCACTGAGCCATCTCTCCAGTCCCACTGTTCTATCTTTATAACAGAGATTATCATACCAACACTCTAGTTACTGGGAGTTAAGGGGCAGATATTTAACATAACTCATGAGATAGATACACAGCATAACAGATGACAGTAGCATTTCTTTTTTATTCTCTTTGAGACAAGTGCAACTTTAGCTGACCTAGATCTCGCTACTCAGACTAGGCTGGCTTTGAACTCACAGAGATCCACCTGCCTCTGCCTCCTAAGATTAAAGATGAGTTGCCACTATGCCTAGCTAGCAGCATTTCTTTTTGTTTTGTTTTGAGACAGGTTCTCATGTAGTCTAGGGCTGGTCTCAGACCTACTGTATAGCTAATGCCGTCTTTTTGCTTATGTCTCTCAAGAGCTGGAATTACAAGCACGCACCACCACACCCAGATCATCAGCACTTATTTTTATTACACCATCTTGTTGTTTATTCACATGGCCTGGCCTAATGACCAGTTATAGCTGGTGACTAAACTGAAAAGCAGGAATTTCAGAAGATGTTATTAAGGCAAAGGGTGAAAAAATGCATACTTGATAACATGTAGCAAGAACTTCAAACATTACCCAGAAACCCCAACTCAAATAATCCCGCTAAAAACAATCACAACTACTAAAAACAGATTTTTAAGGCCAAAGCAGTATCACACATAATGGAAAAAAATGTTAGGTGATGGACAATAGACGTGGAGACTAGGTTAGGTAAACCATGATATATTCATACATGATGAAATATATCAGCTTTGAAATATATGACCATTTTCTTACTTTTTTTAAAAATTTTACGTGTATGAGTGTACTATCATGTAGGTAGGTGCACCTGTGTCATGCAATGCCCACGGAGGTCAGAAGAGGGAGTCAAAATCCCTGGATCTGGAGTTATGGACAGTTGCCCATGTGGGTGATGGGAAATGAACCTAGATCCTCTGCAAGAGTAGCCAGTGCTCTTAATTGCTGAGGCATTTCTCCAGCCCCCCCCCAAATATGACCATTTTCAATGATAGGAAAATACTAATTTTTTATCTAATAAAAGAACAATTTACCACATGTACAGTATACTAAAATTTAAGATGAAAAGCACTTGGGTGGCTGGGGCAGATCTCTGTGAGTTCAAAAGACAAAACAAAAAAAAAAATTTCAGAGTAATGGATTCTGGGTCAGAAGCAGATGGTAAGAGCACAGGTTTCAGGATGTGGCTGGTCTGAACTTGAATTCTTTTTGTTTTGGTGGCAGCTATATGTACATTTAAAACTTTTATATAAGCATTACATATTAATTTTATAATTCAAACACAAACACATTAATATTATAAAGAAAGAAATGGGTGGTCTTGGGCTATCCTTTATTCTTACCGCGTTCTAAGCACTTTTTTGGTATTTTTGAGACAGGCTCTTCCTGTAGCCCCAGGTGGCCTGCAACTCACTATGTAGACGAGGCTGGCCTTGAACTCCCGAGATCCACCTGCCCCTGCCTCCCCAGTGCTGGGATTAAAGGAGTGTGCTGCTACACCTGGCAGCACCTCATTTCTAATATGAGGAATTCAATAGGATGGACTCTACTAGATCGAGCTCAACTTGGACCATCTACAACTTAACAAAATGTTGTGTTGCTAACATACTACAACAGTTTGGACTGTGAGAAGCTCCCGGTTCTGTTGTAGACAATATACAGTCCTAATGTGGCAGGTACTCTCCTGTGAGCATAAATGCATGCTGGCTGGGGTCTGACATCATAGTAACCTTAGAAAGTACTTCAACCCTAACAACCCTAAGAGAAGGCTACCATCATTATTCCTTTTTACAAATCAGGAACTTTAAACAAAGACAATTTGTTCAAAATAAGAAAAAGCATTAAGGGGCTAGAGAGAGGAAAAATCTGACTAGCATGCACAAGGCCCTGGGTTTGGCTCCAGCACTAAAAAAAGAAAAAGAGTAGAAGCAGCGAGTGTGACCGCAGAGTCTGCCAAGCACCACACGACCCCATCATATCCATAGAGCTCTTAGAGAAGGAAGTCACCTGCTGGATTCCAGTGAGCTCTTTGTTCACCTCTTCCAGGCGGCTAGCTGTCTTCTCTACAGATTTCTCCAAGTCTTTCAACTTCTTTAGCTCAACCTCTTCCTCTAGATTGCTCTAACATGGAAGAATAAAATGAGGTAAATAATCATAAAAACCAGTAGCCTGTCAGGAAGAAAAATCTGACCACAACTGAGCTAAACCTAGAAAGAATGGACTAACCTCTGTTGCTTCTTGGGAAGCCAATCAAAGGGTTATACAGTAAGGTTTTCTATCTATAAAGACCAATCTAAAGAAGGCGTTAGGCACACATTCTAGTGAGGGTCCAGACTTACATTCAAAGAATGGAGCCAGTCCAAATGCCAAATTCAGCCTCAAGTCTTGGGCTGACCAACAGCTAAACTATAGAGTATAAGCAGATTGAACACTACTGAGGAATCCAGAATGACAAGACAGGCAGAATCCAACTAGGCCTTTCTTCTTTTTTTTTTTTTTTTTGAGACAGGGTCTCCCTATAGCCTCAGCTGGCCTGAAACTCACTATGTAGACCAGGCTGGTCTTGAACTCACAGAGA